TTAATCGATTATAATCGAAAATAATAGGAATAATCGATGAAAATTTTGTTTTTTGGATTATTTTTGATTATAATCGATTCCGAATCGATTAAAAATCGAGTAAAGGTGTATGATTATAATCGATTTTCAATCATTGTTCAAATCGATTTTAATCTGATTTCTACCCTAAATTTTTTTACATGGGTTGTACACCATATTTATCGTTGATGATACTGCTTCTTTTTTCCTATTTACTTTTCTTTACTTGAATCAATAGAACATGTCATTTTCAACAGATAAGCAGTATTTTTTCATGCACACGTTCCCCATCGTTTGAGCTGTATCTCTTTCAATTCTGTGCTTCTTTCTTTTCGCTTTTGTTTCATCTTTATGTTATTTTGATCGAAACAATATACGCTGATACTTGCGTAAACAAGTAAATACTATTAAACGATTGACAAAATCTATCGTTTGTATTTTTTAAATAGAAAGAGTCTTTTTATGACTTGTATTATATTGAATTTTATTTATATTTATGTGGAAATGAATGCATACAACAAGTGGAACAAAATCAAAAATGAATAAACTAATTTCACTATTTTCCAATTGTCGAAAATATTCTTTTATTTAATCCACACAGCGTATATAGTAAAAATTTCATTACAATCTGCATTGTTTTATATCTTTTTAGAGGGATCTAAAGACTGTCTCCGTAGTAATTAGTGTCCTATAAATTTTCTATATAGTTGAAGAAAATACTCATTTTTTTCCAAAACGTGCCATTACGAAGTCAACTATTTATCTTTTTTTAGTAAGTGAGCGAGTGTTTGTTAAATTAGTAGAATCAACCTCGTCTTGAAATAGTCTTAATAATTAACACATAGATATTTACGAATGGTGGTAATCATCTATAATTCGTTTTAAACTTTATATTTCGTATCAATATCATACGAACCAGTAAGAAATTTGTCATTATTTATGACCTGTTTGTTCCTTTTCAAACTATATGAAAAAATCTACTAACTCTAGGCATAGCGTAATTCATTTATGCATCAGATCAATACTGATTCGCGCAATGATAAAATTTCAAATGCAGATAATTATCTTTTTCTATTTCTAGATGACAATATAAGAACAAAATTTGATCGTTGTTTTTCTTTTCATATCTCTGTCAATTCAATAGAAAACAACAAGTAGAAAAATTGAAAGTCTAAATGAGCTTTGAATAAAATAAAACTGAAAATTGAAAAATCTTAAAGATAAAAATATTGAATAGAGTTGATTCCTGTATTTTATAATAAGTGAAGATGTTAGCTATATTCGAGATATCCATGACGGTGCGGTGGGCTTTTCTAAAAACTGTGGTGGTAGCGGTGCCGTAGCGGCAACTTATTTTTTCCAAAGACATCTACAATGCTTCAGATCGTTATTCTATTGTGGTTCTCCAGGAAGAATTTCTTCTCAGCCAGCACGTTTTTATGACTATTTCATCGTCTAAAAGTAACATAAGTGTTTGCATCATGCGATTGTGTGATGATTCTATTTTGAAGCATATTATACAAATTTATAGATATAATAATTCACAGATACATATTCTATCTCATTATAATTGATATTCAAATCAATAGTTAATACTTTTGAGTAGGATAATAACTTTCGTGTTGTCAGTTGTTTTTCACTGTTGAGTACTGAATTACGTCTGACACTAAAATTTACTTGGTCTTGAATATATTACAAATAACATTGAGAAAAGTACTTCTACAATTGGCTGGCTACGAATATGATGAAGTGCTCATGTTAGATCAATGCGTGTCTCATCTAATTACGTAAGCGTCAATAAGTTCTAATGATGAGAATTTAATCATCAAAATTGTGCAGAGGTTTGTTTTTCGTGCATATATTGCTGTTTGGCGCTCTTTATCTCCTAGATTTTGATAAGTTCAGCAATTATAAAAATTCTTTTTATCTAAATTATAAATTTTGATGTAATATCTGGTTTTAGATATGCTTTTAACAAACTCGTACACATACACACATTACAATTGGTGCACAAAAAGCATATATTTTTTTTCGACATAAAATAAAATCCCTAGGTGAGAAAATGCAATCAATACCATTGGTTGATGTATATAAAATGAAAAATGAAAAATGACCACATAGTATCAGATTTTATTGAACTTTGCATTAAGGGAAATATTCAAGTATGAAGTTACGTGTACATTCTTCTGAGTGTTAACTATTATTTCATAAATTTTTATAATAAGATAAAATATGACTAGTAGTGCTTGAATTGCATATCTGCCAATAATTCCTGGTCCACAGATTTACGTGACTAGACAGAGGGAGATATGCAAAGGAACAGACAAAAAATATTGACTATGCATACATTGAAAACAGCTCACTCATATATATGTGATAGATCCTAGTGTTTTAAATGTAAATATCGTATTTGATATTGTTTCGATCCTTTGCGATGTATAGTTTGTTGATTGTAAACTCCTCTCATTTCCAACTCTTTCTAATTCGATATGTGAGTTGAGTGAATGGAAAGCAGCAATCTAATTTGGGATAAATACTTCTGCCGAAACAATTTAAGACTATCTGTTCTTATATTTTTTTTGCTCGTTATTTATTTAAAACTCAGTTAAAGATGTAATAAATTCATCGTTGACACTCATGTTGCCAAATACAAATGTACGTCGTAATAATCGATACAAATTTCATAACACATATTTTATTTTTTGAGGAAGAGCAGGTTCTATAGATTATATTGTTAATATCGTCGCTGTAGCGGTGCGACCGCACTTGAGTTTAATAAACACTTCATTAACATTCGTTATAAACTAGGATTTTTTCCTGATTTTGTCTTTATGAATTCAAGCATGTGCTGATTTTTAAAGCACATCACTGATTTATACTTGTTTCATATTTTTCAAAACATTATTCGGTGTTTTTTTCTCTTGGTTAAGACCTTCACAATTGCAACAATGTGAAAGCAGTCGCCTCTAGAATATAGATTAGGGTATATATAAGTATTTCAGGAAACAATTACATTAAAAACAATGAAAAGTACATGTATGCGTTGATGTGTGTCCACCATTTCGACAATTTAATTTTTTGGCTTTTTATTACTGTCGCTGAAGTCAATCTGAAGATCATTAAAGAAGAATAAACAAAACCACATGAAAATTAAAATTAAAAGTTTTTTGTAAAATATCTCAGACTTTGAGATTTCCAAGGAAAATGAATAATACTGAACGAAAAATTAAAATCTGTACAGAATTTTTATATAGGTAATTCGCTTTTTTAGGATAGATCATACGTTAAATGAAATCCTACATTATCGAAAAAAATACCAAGCCGAGCAGAATAAACTTACAATTTTAACATGATTTGTCAATATTTTATTCTTCAATTTGAAGAAGAACTGTTGGTAATGTTACTTATACCGATGTTTCCTTGCTTTTTCATTCCAACGTGTAAAACAAAAATGAGTAAGTGTTTCTCTCTTCTCGCAAAACAGAATACTCTCAAGTATCGTGCAATACCAAGCACATATCAGACAGAAAAATGAATGTAACACATATATATGACATAACCAGGCACAAAAATACTGCATAATAAAGAAGATTATGTGAATTATGGCTAGCAGTCGCGTCAGAGACGACAGTTTCTGACTTATTTTTGAAATAATTTGACAAGATCCTGATCATTCTTCTCTAATTTCTTATTTTTTACTGTACAGCTATGTAAAAGAATTAGACTCATTTATTTTTCTTCATTTTATGATAACTTACCATATGTATATCAAACGTAGTTCAGTCAAAAAATGATATGAACTTGAAATAAGACAGAATTATTAGTTGGAAAGCGCTCTTGTTCTACCACTAGTTGTTCTGATTCTTTTTTAAATGAATATTTCATAAATACTTTTTGTCGGATAAAACTCTATTCAAGATATAATGAGAGTTAATAAGTGGTTAAATATAAATTGATAAATTATATTCTACAATTTTGAATTTTGGATTTTAAAAAATGCCTCGCTTAACTCTTTTTTTTATAATTCTCATCCTATCAAAAATGCTATATATGCAGTTTATGTTCTTTCCGTGAAAATATTCTTAATGATAAAAGAAAAGCAAATTCAACTTAGCAAGTGTTATTTTGCTACGATAGTTGCTTGTTCGACGATTATTTAATACTGCACAAAGTTAACATCAACAGACAGATAAAACAGACATGCTTCTGTAAACAGATTGTCCTTAGTTTCCACAAAACATCGTCAACTTTATGATTTTTTTATGTGTATTAAAGATATCAATCATTATAAAACACAGAAAATACAAGTTATTAAAGAAATAATCGCAATGCCTATGTACTGAATTATACTGGAAAAGTGCTGCGAGTCGATTGTTAATATTGTTTATTTCCATTTTCTTCGTCGATATAAACCTATTACTGTAATTTAGTTCAGTTCTAGAAAATAAGCCTGTAGTCTACGAAAAGCCAATCTCAATTTCGAGAAATTCTTACAAATACTTTTGTCCTAACAAAAAAATAATTAGAACAGTAGGACAGCCTCATCAAATGGAGAAAACTTTTTCCAAGGGAAGAAGAGTCATTTAGTGAACAGAAAATGGCTTGTTAACTTTTCGGACAATTATTGACAAATCCAAAAGTTTTTCAGATCCAACGGTTGAAACAGCAGTAAGCAATAAATGTTGCTACAAATAAATCATTTATACATACAAAAATATTAGTGTCCGAAAAAAGACATTTGATTAACTATCATCAAAACAATAAACGTCCTCGCGAATGTCTCTTACAATGGGGAACCGTCAATAAATAAAGTCATGTTTTCTGTTCGATATGTAAGATAAAGAAGAGAATATGTCTGGTTTCATCGCGTTACCCGATCTTGTTTTACTCGAAATTATGCCACATTTAACACCTATACAAAATAAACTTCATTGTATATAATTTACTTCGTGAATGTCGATATTCATCATTTATCAACATCTATGAAATCAAACATATTTCGTTATTTGTGTACCAATGTACTTCCATATATATCATGTCATATGGAATCATTGAAGATAGATGCTGATTTTGTTGGCAGTCGTATTGTTTATGACCTACCATCTACTATTTTCTCTAATATAACTTCATTACATTTAGAATCCTTAAAGGTATGTTTGATTCATCTATGTTCGTTTCAGAAATCACTAAAATATATCGAACTCACTCGTTTTGTATAGCGGACAGGTTATCACAAGTGAAGTTACATGTAAAGCAAAGAGCAAAGTTTTTATATAGATTGATTTTTCAAACCCTTCAAAGATCATTATGAACTTTCTCGAGTAGAATGAAAAATTGGAAAACTGTTTTTAATATTAATATACGACGTATATCGCAGGTAATCATCTTTTTTTGTTAAGGGCGACGATCTCGCATATGTTCTTGAACAAACAACTCAATTGAATCATTTAACATTAAACAATGTCAATGATACAAACATTAAACGTGTGTTTGAGAAATATTTGCATCGTCTTCAATCATTCATATGTGATAGTTCTCTTCCAACACAAATGACATTCCCTGTTGATCCTTATATATTATCAACTTTTTCCGTTGTTCTATATCAATTGTCTGATTTACTAGTGTTTATTGTACATATACCTCAATTGAAGCATCTCAAATTATATATGTTTGAGAATTATACTGTTGATGAAGCAGAACGTCTATGATTATTACAAATGATAAAATCTACTGATATGCACATGTTAAGTAATATTGAAACTTTTACATTTATCAGCAGAATAAATTTTACTCCATGGTCAATATTTTTACGTCTCGTTCGATCGATGATTCGACTACGTACGTTATCCTTCGATACACCGAAATAGACGACGATGAAAACTAGAACTCGTCAGCAGCAGATTATCTATCGACCGTTTTACAATCGCTTAAAGAATTAATAAACATATCTTTTCGGCTTTGCATACATGATTGTGATGAAAAACCAAATGAAAGCAGGTAAAAGTCAGAAGTAGACAGTACCGTTTATCTTTTCTTTCGAGCACTTGACTTGTAATGGTATTGTGAGGATTTATTTTGGCACGTTCCCCAAAATGAATCCTCGCTGTCTTAGGACTGTTGATATTCTCGGGAACTTTAAATTAGTGCATCGATACTGTAAAAGACAATTTTCAATGATTATAACTAACAATAACTATGCTATTTGTTTTAGGTGGAAGAGTTCTTTTTGGCCAAGAACCAAGCGGTGTTTTGACCCAGCGTTAAGACATTCATACTTTTACACACTTCCGTGGATGAAGAATTATCCATATCGTCTACAACTTTATGATCAAATGGATTCTATCAAAATTCATCATTCCATAAAAAAATGTTCAATTGTGTCTGCTAAAGATGAAAGTGATATTGGCGAATTTGCTCGTTTGTCTCGATGTTTTCCAAAAGTAAGTATTTGCATTATTATTAAAACAGACCATGTTTTCTAAGAAGACCAATACATTAATTTTAATGCGAAAAGAAATCGTTAATTCTGAAATAATAAATTTGTTGAGTGTTTCAGATTCAACATCTCATAATGCAATGGCCACGTTCAATTTCCCCACCTCAATTTCAAGGCATTGCTCAACCACTTATGCATTGTAGGTTTCTTGCGACGTGTTCAACAACATCAGGAGGACTTTTTTCACGCATGTTACCATTTTTACCAAAACTTCGTGTGATAGAATTATGGGGTGGCATCGATCAATTAACAGCTTTGGCTACATTTCAATCGTCCACACTCGTTCGTCTGAATGTTTTCAGTTGGATTGATGCGAGTATCGATTTTTTGGATGAAACTTACTTTCCATCGCTACAGTTCTTATTCATCATTCTTTTCAACGAAGCGGCTAGCGATGAAATTTTACGTATAGAACGAACAATAGAACAAAGTTTTACTCATTTGCCAAATTTAATCAGTCTTCATTATTATAGTTTCAAGACAAATTATGATTTCACTCACATCAGTAAACCAAATCAATACTCGTCCTTTTATAGTGTTCATATAGAAAACAATCGAATAATTGTTTGGAAATAAAAAATATTAGTTTTTTTTTCTCAATAAACTTTCAACAAAAGCGAGTGTGTGTTATTAAAGAAAGCAATTGCACTCTCACTCATTATTAACGAATACCACTGATAGTTACTGTTCATTTTTTAAATTACTCGGATCAGACTGATTTTGTGGCATACATTAAAAAGTCTTCCAAACTGAAAAAAAATACGTATTTTGGTTTTCGACTGCCCAAGCAGACAAACTTTTGGGAAAACGCGTTTACACACTTAATTGGGAACCGCAATCATGAGCCATTAACGCTCAGTAACGAAACGCAAGAAACGCGTTTTTTACGCAGAATTCTTACTTTCAAAGCGTGAAAACTCCAATTATGAGCGTTTAAATGCACAGTTATTCAATAACTTAAAAATTAATTCGTTTAAACGCTCTGAAAGTGAGAATTCTGCGAAAAAAACGCGTTTCTTGCGTTCCGTTACTGAGCGTTAATGACTCACAATCGCGGTTCCCGATTGAGTGTGTAAACGCGTTTTCCTAAAAGTTTGTCTGCTTGGGTGACTCACTTTAATGTACAAAGCCCTGAAGGATGTGAATTATTTCTGCTGTGTATCTCGTTCTTTTTATTTTCTGGTGGATTTTTACTCATTCTTCCATAAGAAATTGAGTAATACGTTGCGAGTATTGACAAAATTTTTGTTTTTCTGCATTCGTGATAGAAAAAAGAAAAACAGTAAATAATTCCAACAAAACTGGCTGTTCATTGCAATGTGTATGAACAACATAGAAACGATGTACTTGTAATAGTTGGTTGGTGGCTATGAATATTTAAGATATGGTTAGTTCGATTGAAATATTTACTGATCTTAATAAGTGTGCGGATTTTCTTACGGATCTCAAAATAAACAATCAATTCAACTATGTAAAAAAGTTGGAGATGTTTATACGAATAAGAAATCTATGTGTGAGGCGCTTAGAAAAGATATTCGTCATTCTAATCGAAATCTAATACCTATGCATGTTATTTCGCAAACGTCTGCTATTAATCTCGGTGAAATTGTTCCATCGTTCATGTATTCTCGATATGTCACATGATGACAACGAAAAAAAGACACTTGTGAATTTTAGTACTAAGAAGGGTGTGGGTTTGTGGGTGTTGGAAGTGAGTATGCAGCATGCTTAATTAACACACCCACACCCACACCGAAACACCTTAAAAATAGACGTATCAGGGATTTTGAACCATTCATCATATGATTTCTTCACTAATTGTATTAAAAATTAAAAAATTGCCTAAACATGACAACCTGGAAGTATTTCGAAGTAAAGACTTGCTTGTGTAGGGTGTGGGTGTCGTATCTTCTGAAGCACACCCAAACCCTTTTCCTCTTCGAACTCGACCGAGATATTCATGAGATTGAACTGTGTGGAAAATTTCATCACGGTCTGACTCTCCTTTCGAAAATTATCGTGCATACGGCCGGACGGACACACTGACCGATTCTAGAGTATGCTCACTGTTTGAGTACACAAAAAACGTAAGTAATTATTCATAAATCTTGAAGAATTTCATTAGTAAGTTAAAAAATTCTATGTAATTATTATTTTTTTGAATCATACGCTTTTGATTTAGCTTTCTCCAAGCGATTCGATCCAGAGGTATGGGTGTGAGTTCAGAGGAAGAGCAACACCCATACCCACCTACACCCTATAGATTGGCATACGCTAATGTGTAATCATGAGTGATTTCGAAGTAAATTTCTATTCATGATGGCTTACTAGAAAAAATAGTTATATGTGGAATTCACTGGTGTCTTCCAAGAAAATTGCGAGAATTGGCTTGTAATTATTTAAAGTTTTTGTAACTCCTCACTCTTTCACTTTCCAGCAAATACAAATTACATAGTATGCAAAAGACAAATTCGAATGCTACGCAATATTTCTTTTGGTATATAAAATACTATTATATATTCGTTAACTTTTTCTGCAATACAAAATAATAAATATCTATATATAATAGCAATAATATGATTAAGATTACAGTCATGATATAGTCTTTTTGTCAGATTGAAAAGTAAATAGCATCAATAGTATCGAAAAAATCGTAAATCAAGAGCAACATATTTTCACTTTGAAAGACAACCAAGAAAACATAATTGATGTATTAACAAAATCAATTTATTTTCAATGCCAAATCATTGGTTTACACAGAATTTTTACGATTTCACAGGCTGTCTATTTCTTTTAGTAAGCTTCTCTATGGCACATTCCCATTCGTCTCTAATTGGATTGCTTAAGAGACACAGCGCAGTGAGTGTCTGCGCAAAAATGGAAACAATTGCATAAAATCTAATAATAGATAAAGAGTGTCACCGTGTTATTTTGCAATGCATCAACCAGATATTGTGCTCCGCTGTCTCCAATTCGATTGGTGGACAGATATAGTTTGGTGAGTGTCTGTGTGCAAAAGTGGAAATATTTCTACGAAATATGATAATAGATATTGAGTGTACCGCGTTATGCCGTAATGCGTCTGCTAGATGCTGCGCTCCTTTGTCTCCTACGTTATTCCTGTCGAGGTCTAGTCTTATGAGAGTCTATGTAAAGAATAGAGTTGGTTTCGCTAGATGTAACAATTGATAGAGAGTGTTACTGTGTTATTCCGTAATCCATCGGCTAGATATTGTGCTCCTTCGTCTCCGATTACATTGTCATAGAGATTTAGATCTGTGAGTGTCTGCGTAGAAAACTCGAGCCGATTCTAAGAAATATAACAATAGATAATTGATGCTACTTTGTTATTTTGTAATGCACCACCGAGATGTTTTACTCCTTCGTCTCCTATTTTATTGCAGCTTAGATTCAATGTGATGAGAATCTATGTAAGGAATATAGTTGGTTCCACTAAATGTAACAAAAATAATGGGTGTCACTGTGTTATGTCGTAATCCATCAGCTATATATTGTGCTCCTTGGCCTCCTAGTGCATTGGTACTTAGATCTAACGTGGTAAGTGCCTGTATGAAAAGTGTAGATGACTGTATTATGTTTAATAATGGGAAAGGGTATTACTGTATTATATCGTAACCCATCACCTAGGTATTTTGCTCCTTGGCCTCCCATTTCATTGTTACTTATATCTAGCGTCGTGAGTTTCTGTGTGCAAAAGTGAAGATGATCATATGAGATATAATAATAGATAAAAAAATGTTACTGTGTTATATCGTAATCCATCACCTATATATTGTGCTCCTTCGTTTGCTATTTTATTGCTCCTTAGATCTAGTGTGGTAAGTGTCTGTATTAAAAAGTGGAGATGGTTCTGTAAGATGTAATAAGAGCTAGACAACTTTACTGTATTATATCGTAATGCATCCCCAATGTTTTTTGCTCCTTGGTCTGCGATTTCATTGCCGTAAAGTTTTAATGTGGTGAGTTTCTGTGTGAAAAAGCGGAGACGATTGTATTACATATAATAATAGGGAAGGAATGCTACCGTGTTATATCGTAATGCATCACCTAGATATTGTGCTCCTTCACCTCCGATTTGATTGCTTTCGAGATGTAGCGTAGTGAGTGCCTGTGCGAGAAACTGGGGATGATTCTATGCAATACAACAGTAGAAAAAGAGCACTACCATGTTATATCGTAATGCATCAGCTAGATATCGTGCTCCTTGATTTGAAAACCAATTGATTTGGAGGTTTAGTGTGGTGAGTGTCTATGTGAAAAACTGTAGGATGAGTGCATCAGACACATAAGCAAATAAGGGGTGTCACCTTGTTATCTCGCAAGCCATCAGCCAGATATTGTACTCCTTTATCTGCAAATTGATTGTATTTAAGATCAAGCGTCGTGAGTGCCTATGAAAAACAGTGCGGCTGATTTCATTAAATTTAATAGTGGTAAAGATTGTTACTTTGTTTTTTCTTAATACATTAGCTAAATGGTATGCTCCTTTTTCTGCAAGTTCATTGGTATCAAGAATTAATTTGGTGAGTGTCTTTGAGAAAATGTTGAGCTACTTGAACAATATGTAGCAATAGATAAAGACTACTACCGTATTATATGGTAATGCATCGGCTAGATATTTTGCTCCTTTTTCTCCAATTGGATTGTAGTGGAGATTTAGTGTAGCGAGCTTCTGTGGGAAAAATGGAGATGATTGGATTACATGCAATGATAAATAATGATTGTTACCGTGTTATATCGTAATGCATCAGCAAGGTATTTGGTTCCTGGAGCTCCGATAAGATTGCCTAGAAGATTTAGTGCGGTGAGTGTCTACATATAAAAGTGGATATGATTGTATGCGATGGAATAATAGACAAATAGTGTTACCCTGTTGTACCGTAATGTAGCAGCAAGATATTGCGTTCCTTGGTCTGAAATTTGACAGTGTATAAGAACTAGTTCGGTGATTAACTATGTGAAAAGATGAATATGATTGGATGGCATGCAATGACAGATAAAAAGTGTTACCGTGTTATATCGTAATGCGTCGACTATTTGATGTAATTTTTTGCCTGCGATGGTTTGGGATGTCATATCTAGTGTGGTGAGTGTCTGTTTAAAAAAGTGAACATGGTTTCATTATATGCAATGAGCGATAAACCGTGTGAAAACTATTGAGCGTGTTTTGTGAGTTTGCATGCAATTAAAGAGAGCTCACCCACACTCAACAGCTAAACTTCAACGAACCCCTGAAATATGTAACGTTTTTGAATCATTACGCATTAATAGTGATCTTTGTCTACATCATTATTGCATTCAATATTTCTCGAAGCGTGGTGATAAAGTATGAAAAGTTACTAAAATTGAATGACTCAGTATTTTTTTCTTTAATGTAAGTCAAAAGAGAAAACCTAAGAATATATTGTAACTCTTCAAAATAAACCATCAAAGTTAAGTTATCAATTCGTCGCTACGGATGAAACAAAGATTCACCGATCACTTAGCACTTCAATTTATAGATCTTGATTATCAAAATAAACAAAAGTTACAAGTAATATAGCGCCAAGAAGTTTAAAAATATGTTATTCAATTATGCCATCGAATAATCGAGTCGATAATAGGTCATCTCTTTTTCATTAGGGAAGTTTATTTCATGATTCAACTAATTTCAAAAGACAATTCACTTACTCGAAATTATATCTAAATTGATTGTAATACTATTTTTTAATAGAAATATTTTATTCACTGTATTCACGCTAGTTAAAATCTGCCATAAATATTGACGTAAAAGTTTACTAGAATAACGTCTTATTCATTTTTATTTGACTATGAAAATCTATTGGAGTTCATTTTATGACGGTATAGATGTTAGAATTTGAAAGTAAATCAAAATAATAATCTGCTGCGGCAAATGATGAATTGAAAATGGTGAGAATCAATTTTACCTGGTACCTGTGGTACGTATCAATGATATTGTCCAATCTTGAGCAAACATTACGAGTTGAGTATATCAATGTGATAGTGTCCAGCTTGTCCAGAATACGGTAAACCAGTTCGATAGGTAATGTGACAAGAGTTACAAAAGTTCTTTCAGACATTATTGTTGTTTTTAATCGAGCAATATGTTCCTTTAAAATTAATGTCTATTGAAAATTATTTATTGCTTTATATCAGTAAGGTTTTGGGTGTGGGTGTGGGACGTCGGTGTGACTTTGACTGTTTTTGTGGCTATGGATGTGGTGCTGGTATGTGCATTTGCATTCTCCATATTCTCAAAACCAAACCCCACTCTCACCACACGCACACCCGCGTTCACTCGTCTGAAGCACATCTGGGGTCCGCCAGGCTTTGTTGTGTGACTATTTGCACCAGTTTTATCAGGCTTTTCCTGGATTGTAGATTTTAACGGATACGAGCGATCTTAGATTTCTAGCCTACTACATCAGCCTGGGCCAAGCTGATTGAATCTGGTTTAGCGTTACCTGTACTTGTATCGTGTTAAGAAAAAGGACATGTTATTGCGACAAACATTCTGAAACACCTTTGTCTACAGTCTTTGTCCAGATATTGGATATTTCTGAAAAACCGACTTCAGCAGACACAACGTTAGGACTTTAAAATGGGCTTTTGAACAAAACTTAAACAGGGAGAGGCAGAGAAAGAGTTGCTATTCATTGCACTGTCTCTCACTGTGGAATCTGAGCTAGCAAATTAGTCGCAATCATTGGCCGAACCTTACTAGACTGGTAACATGGCTCACTTTGTTTGAGTATGTGTAGTTGTTCGAAACAAAACTGAGAATGGCTTGAATTTTTATTATGTTGAAAGAGCATACATAAATATTCTCTTCTCTCGTTTCTTCACTCTCCCATTATTTCTTTTATATTCGCTCTTGCACTCTCAATGTCGACGAAGAGCTAATTCTTCGAAAATTTAGAGACACAGCATACTACATTTGAGTAGCTTTTTATTGTTCGACTCATTACAAATGAAAAATGTGCAAATAACTTCATTGCCGTTGTGCAATATTAAAATGCTATAAAGAGTCTGAAATTGCTACTGACGTGAGAGGGGTTCCGTTGTGGATGGGGATGTAGGCATATGCATTTAGGTACGCTCTTGGCAACGACTACATTCTCATCCACCCCACAGAATTTAAGTATGTGGCAGGGGGTTGTATTCTGTCTTATGAAGTTTTCAAGATCTTCTGATCGAGCAAGAATTACGTTTTTCTACAGTCAAAGGAGATTGTTCTTTTCCCGTCTTCTCTGCCAGCATCTGAAGCAGGCAAAGTTTTTCAAAAACGCGTTTAAACGCCCAAACAAAGGACGAAAAATCTAGAAAAAGTGGAGGTGTTGGGATGCTAATCGAGGTTTCTGATTGTGAGTGAAAACGCTCACTTTCCCACCTTCTTGTGCGTTTAATCGCATTTTCAGTCAAAACAAACTTATAAATGCATAAAGAAAAAAAAATAGTGGTCGTTTATTTCATAGTCGTTATCAATGACGGGATCATACTAAAAGTTGTTAAGTATCATAAAGAGGACCACTATTTTTCTTTTTTTATGCATTTACAAGCGTGTTTTGACTGAAAATGCGATTAAACGCACAAGAAGGTGGGAAAGTGAGCGTTTTTCACTCGTAATCGGGAACCTCGGTTAGCATCCAGACACGTCCACTTTTTCTAGATTTTTCGTCCTTTGTTTGGGCGTTTAAACGCGTTTTGGAAAAAGCTTTGTCTGCATGGGATTTCGAACTTTTCTCACGTGGTGCACTAGGCTTTGTATTTACTTTTTTTTATATAAGACATAGAACTCATCAAGATACATCCCTTGCTACTAAACTGCAAGGAGAAAATACAGGCGTGCTAAGTTAGCATAGATCACACTATATGCGACCCTATCTGGTGACCATTGACTCTACCCTCGGAGTGATATAATATCTTTACAAATCGCAGAAAACGAGTTCAGATTCGTGTTTAGCTTGGAAAACTGGGTAAGAAGAGTTATTTTTGAATGGATTTGCGTTTGTATCTAGCGGGATTACGATCGTTAGCAAACTCATGAATCTATAAGAAATATATGATAGATACAGTGACCAATATTAATAGCTATCGAGCTGCAGTTTTACCTTTCTATAATCCTTTTGACTAGCAACAAAACCAGGCATGTGGGGAAACCCTAAAACTATTGGTCATCTGAGACATATTTAGGCAATTTGGTTTCTGAATGCCGTTTTTGTGCGTTTTGAGACCTTTTTCAAGCGATATTTTGTTAGAAAGCTACGATTTGGTTCAAAACTGATATCATATTCGGAATCAGCGTTAAAAACTGAGTCGACTTATATATGTTGTGAATAATTCTGAGGAAAATAGTTTTTTTGAAATCATCCTTGTACCCCTCAGGGATGGTCTGGTCAATAATGACAATTTTTTCGATAACTCAGCCATTTCTTGGCGGATCCTTCACATTTTCGAACTCAACCGAGATATTCACTATTATCGAAACGTCTTTCAAAGTCTAACATGTACAGCAAGCTTTTCTACTGCTGTTGATCAAGGTGCATTCCCGCCATGCTTGCCATTGATCACGACCTTTAACACTGATATTGATCGTGCTCGATACTTCGCCATACTCAATTATTTAAAAGATTATAACGTTTATGTATCGTCAATCAAATTCGATGAACATCAAATGACACAACATCTAACAACTGACACATCAATGCAAATCGGCACAGGCGACTGCTGGAAAGTGTAGGACTCTAATGACCAATTCTTTTGCTGTTAGTTTATTAAGGCTGCCAATTGTATAGAAATTCTTAACATTGTATTACTCTATATAAATGATAAAATAAATATAGTTACTCCCATGGAGAAGCTGAAACAACAATTCGAAATATTTTTTTCAAATTTTCAGTCAAAACCTTTCCTTATAAAATGCTTGATTTGAATTGAACCGTTAATCTTACACAAAATATTAAAGTTAATATTTGTGTTTTCAGGCGACAATCAAGAATGAATACGTTATTTATTATGTTTTAGCAATTTTGTCATTTCTTGTGACCTTTTTTAGATTTCGGCACTATGCTGTCGAAATAGAGTGCCTTTTTCAGAAGGTATTCTTTCAATAGATGATGGCATTGCAGATGCTTTCAAAATCTTTTTTCTAACTCGCTTGACAATTTACGTGTT